TGAACAGCAGGAAAAGACTGCACCTGTCCTACCAAGTGGGCAAGAGCATGAGGTTATAGAAGGACTGAGATGCCAAGATCACAGTTTTTCCACTAACATCCAAATGAGGAAACAAATGGAGAGGAAGGGAGGGGCTCCATGGTGTTCAGGGAATCCTGCGATCAGTGATCTTTTGGGGAGTGTCAGACTGGAAGGATCTCCAGTTCTCTACTTCCACTGGCAATTTTGCCTTATCATCCCCCCTCCCTGATCAAAACCCACTCTAAAGTGAAATGGTGCCTCTCAGTGGGATGAGCTCTGTGATGCCTATCTACCAGAGTTGCACCATGAAGGATTACTCTCACTTTGGATAGTTTTATATACCAATTTGAGTAAGGAAATTGCCCACCAATTCCACATCAGGCTTCTGATGAAACAATCACACTTCTGCCCCATTCTTAAGTTCTTTGTGGAAGTCAACTTTACTCACAAAAATGCGTAGTGGGTTGCTCTCTTTTGGGTAGACTAAAGCTTGGGGAGGAACCAGCTTTAAGAGACTGATACCCTTTTCTGCTGCTTCTTCTGGGGATGGTTTTTGAAAATCTGTCCTCTGGGAGACCAGGGTAAGTTGCTCCTCAGGAGAAGCAACTACTTGAACCAACTCATCCTTGAAAAACACAGACATCAAATGTTTTCAGAGCATGGTAAGCCTTTTGGTACAAAATGTTGAGACAAAATTAATCAAGTAGTTGTAGAAATGTAGGATTGGGAGTGACTTCAGCAAAGTTTGTATTTGAGATGATTCGTTACCTCAGTCCTCTGCCTCAGTGGTCTGGAAAGTTTTTGAGATTTGTAACTTGTGGCTGCATAGTCTGTACAAATTGGCCGATACTTCATTACTTTGAAATGCCGAGGAACCTAAGGGCAAAGAAAAAAAAGGATGTGCTGCAGGAGATGACAATAATCACTTTTGGTTAACTCACAGATGGAATGGAACAGTTTGGCTTTATCATAGACACATCACATGTCTGCAGTAAAAGATCCTTGGATCACTGTTCTGAAACATCCTATATGACCAAATCTTTGCCAAACTGTACTTCATCAGGACAATCTGCATGAATGCATAAAGGAATATTTCCATTTTTGCTTTTTTGTGAAAGATCATGGATTTAACAGTTTCTTGATCAAATACAATTAATGGGGTGGTGAAAAGCTGTGTAAGTAATATGAGCCAATGTGTAGTAAAGTGAAAGGATGCTACAAGAAAGCTTCCAGACTTGTTACATCACCAGAATGAAAAGAAAGTGGAGATTGAGCCAAAATCTGCACAGATTTGAACATGAGGAATTATTTTACTTTGATGGCATGCAGAGTTTGATCTTTTGCTATCCAAAAATTGGAGAAAAAATGGTTTAGAAGTCAGGAGAAAAAAATTTCTGTACTCATAAAGCTGAAAGAAATTAAGCATTTCAAGAGATGTTTGCATTTCCTATGATGCAGAACTAAGCATGCAGAACTGGATGCCAAATAAACAGAAGACTTCCATTATTTTCTAAAAGGAAGGACACTTTTATTATGTCACTTTTATAAAACTCTAGAAGCAAATGACAAACTGTGTGGTGTGCAGGTCTCAGAGTGTTCTCATTCACAGAAAGATTTTGATGTTTGAGATACAATAATTTCAGCTGAGCTGATCCATCTCTCTGTCTGGACAGAGACTATTGCTGACTAAAGCTTTTTACTTATGCAAACAGGTGAGATTTGTTTTTAACACAAACATGCTACTCATACAGCAACATTTTTATTGGGCTGCACACTGAGGCCACTGAATCAGGCAGAAAACATCTAACTGGACTGGTGGAAGAGAGAAACGTGATACAGCTGAAGGAGCTGTACTGACTTACTTTGAAGTCATAAAAAGGAAGAATGTGTGTGACTTTCATATCGACAGGTTCAATAGGAACTGGGCCAAGAGCATCAGGTGCCTGAAAAGAGCACAGTATTTAAAAACCAGTAATATGGTAACATGAGCAGTTGTTTTGCATTGGCAGCAATCCATCAGCACAGCTAATTGAAAACATATGGAAATAATTATGCAAATATTTATTTCATATAGTTGGATATTTCTGCTGTTCTTTCTTGGACTTTGGCATTTCAGTTGTTTTTTCTTTCTTTTCTTCTGAAAAATCATGATTGATAACTAACTGATCATTAATGCATTGCTCAGAATTTTAGAATGCAATTAAGAGAATGCAAAGATTTTTTTTTACTGTTTTCACAGCATCCTTAGTAAATCTGAAATCCTGAATACATTTGCCAGAGCCCTAGAAGACCACTCACACTGTGAAATTTTAATAAAGGCAGGACTGGGCCAAAGTCTTCAACAAAATTCTATCTTGATTGTTGACCAACATTTTAGTTCCTGTACCTACCAAATCATGGTGTAATTTCTGGGAACTGTAAAAGGGGAATTCAAAAGGCAATACACGATCTTTAGATATGCTGGAAGCAAAGTTCCTATGTTCTTCACTCTTCTCTGGTTTGGTCAATCTCCTGCTTTCTGTCATGAACAGAAAGCAAATGTTAATATTTTGTAATGTATCTTAATGCTCTGCTTCAAAAATAGAATCAGGCCACAAAATGTATTTAACATCTTCCTAAAACAGGATGTGTTTAGTAATTTTAATAATAAAAAGTGAGGCTTCCTAAAGGCTTTAAATGTCACATCTACATGACATGAGGCACAATACCTTGACTAGCAGACAGATCTAATTTTCCCTTTGCTAAAAGGACATTATAGCCCACTCAGTCCAGAATGGCTCTTGTTGCCGTTCATCGCAACCGACCTCCTTCGGTTGAGATGGTGCAGAGGCCCCACACCAGCCCCCGGGCCAATGAGCACTGACACCAATACGAGGATGCTGCAAATGGCCTTTATTGCTTCAGGAACAACACCTTATATACTGTTACACCTTCGTTACAGCCTCCTTGTCTGTGTCAGCAACTTGTGTCATTTCCACTTGCGTAAGCCTTATGTTATCACATGCGCAGGGAGGGGTTCCTGCTCCTGACCTTTCCGTTCATCGCGTGATCTTCCAGCCGCCGTTCCCTCCAGTTCTCTATCTTGTTCTGCTCAGCAAGGCAGAGATAAGTCAGAGGCCTCTCTTACACTAACTGCCATTACCCCTTCTATTTGCAGCATCCCTGCAGCTCCTGCATACTGGGAATTAAATGTGTCTATTTGCAGAAGCAGG